CAAGTACTCACAGATACAAGTATTTAAAGAATGTTGATTTCATTGAGACACACATGCGCACATGCTTCTTTTGCTTATAGTGTTGACATTTACAGTATATTCAGTGTACACTATTTAAATGACTCATTTCAACAGATAATACTTCCTTGGTATATTTAAAGTATGAAAGTCTGAAACTGAAAGGATATCCCCATGAGGCTTTTTGTTTTAAGAAAGGTAAACAGAGGACCCCCAGGCTAAACTGTGGAGAGACAACCTTTTCTGTGGACAGACAGGGAATCTTACTCCCAGAATGGTTTTCCTAAGTAACGGCCCTTGGTTTATTTTGTATTGTATTTCACGCCACAGTTTCCCTTTTTTCCTGTTATGACTTGTTAATACTAAGATGTCTTCACCGATAAAACCAGTTGACGACAGGATCCAGACAGCAAAACTTAGAGCATTGCTGTGAATAGCCAAAATATAATCCTGATATAAGCATTGTTTGTTCACATTTAACAAAGTGTCATTTAAGGCTTGAACCCCCTCGGAGGCAGTCATTACAAAAATACACAGTTTTATACATTTTAACAGTGTTTTGAGACCATGTTTTCATATGGCTTTAACTCCAAGTTGAAAATACCTAAACCTATTTTGATAAGTTATACAAGATTCAACTATTTTTTTTTTGCCATGAATTTAATAATTTACGTTGAAATTACTTAAATATCCAAGTTGATTGTACTTAAAAATCAAGGCAGCGGGTTTTCACGTCTATATAATAGATAGGCTGAAAATTAACAGAATTCTTGTACAGCATCTAGTGATATTGGAGGCTGTACGATTCTCAAAATTTCACAATCTTCTGTTCTGACTAACTCACAGCAGTGTGTTTTGAATCGTGCTCGAATTGCACAACTGTAAGCCCCTATTATTCACAGCCAAAGTCACTTCACAAGACGCAGGCGATTTGACAAGGGAAATCTTGTTCAGACCTCTTACTTAGAGCCCAGGAAAGTGCTCTTCACTCTCACTTCAAATCAAATCAATGTCTGATCAATCATGGGCCCTAAGCCTTCAGGGTGGCAGTTGGGATGAATCTGCCATTTTTCAGGGTGTCCGCTGACTGCCTATATCTGGGGCCACGGCGGAGGCCTGTCTAATTGAATTAGCAGGGCCACGTCCCCGGGGTGGTTTCCATCTGGTTTTATATGTAACTGACAAGATGAAGTGACTTGAAGATACATCAACAGATGCAGCTGGTTGTCCAGGAGGGAACTAAACTCTATAGTGGATGCAAAATGAGACACTATTTTGCTTCATTTCCTTGGCACGGTTTCATCATGTGTTTTGAAGAGTTCATTGTAAAATACTTTGGTTTAACGCCGGCAGACAAAATACATTTTGACTGTTGTTTCCAAACAGATGTGCTGTTGTTTGAGAACTAAAAGCATTTCTCGTGCAAACACTCTTTTGGCATCCATGGCTGATGTAATTAAATCAATGTTATCCTTCCAGGTGGTGACAACACCTGTGCTATAAGTTCATTACTCAGACTGAATCACCTATTATTGTCTTCAATGAGCTGACACCAGAAATTATTGCTCAACCAACTTCTAGCGCTTTGTCTTTGCCCTCAGACACCCATATCACATTTCTCTGCTTTTCTTGTGCAGAAGATGGATTATTCCAGTTTGTTCTCAGGTGTTCCTAAGGCCAAATCACTTTTTCATATTTATCAGGGTGAAGCCTGTCTTATAAAACACTGAACTATAAAACCATAAAAAATAGGTCTGTTTTAAATCACAATTTTAATAGGCCAGTGCCTTTGTTATAGCAAACTAATATGAACAATTTTACGATGTGCAATAAGAGTGTTAAATTGTGGAGTTTAGTCTTATCTTGTTTTTATTATTTTTTGCTTATACTTTGCTTAAAGTTTTTCCTCAATACTGTGATAACTTAAATAATAAATTAAATTAAAACAAACATCACACTTCATCAGAGTGTTTCATGCTAAAATCATTATTTATTATTGCCACAGCAGTCAGGGGGTACAGGTAAGTGCTCTTTAAGTTGCTATTTGTTCATTATTATTGTAATGTTGTGTGCTTTGATACATGAAGTTTAACATCATGCCTCGTGACTCTTTTGTTTGCTCCCAGCTGAATGCATTCATGTGTTTTGGAGGAGTTTGGCTTTGGGGACACTCTTAAGGAGGGTGGGATCTTATGCTTTCAAAGCTAGCTTGCTATTGCTATAGCCTCTCCAAAAACTGCCTACCACCTTTAATGTATAATAATAATAAATGATGACCAGAGCAAAATTCCAGCAAAATCCTTGACATAGTGCAATGCTTATATGAAAAATAAGAATATGTTTGGGAAAAAGAGTATATAGTAACCCTATAGAACATCTTAGCAAAAGTATCTTCAGAGACTGTCACTTTAAAACTGAAAAAGTGTCTGTCCTTGTATTCGAACTTCTTTATTCGATGATATAAGCTAATGACAAGACCACTTTAGAAAGCAGGTGTTCAAAAAGCACTCACATTAAGAAGTATTGAAGTATAAAAGCCTGAGCACCTTCCTGCAGAGCTGTTTTTACCAGTGCCATTTAGTTTGAAAGAAACATGCAATAAAAAGTGATGCCGTCTGCTGATGTCTGCAAGGTAATTAGCTCTCCCTTTCCCTCCCTACCAAACTTCTGCCATTCAACATGTTACTTTAAACATAGTGTAACTATGGCTGAACTCTCTGTGAACCTGGCTAGTATTCTGCTGATGGCTGTAGCTTCTCATGTTGTTCAAACCTCAAAGAAACTTCCCCTGTCTAGTTTACTCCCCCCTAACCCAACGCTAGCCTGTTTACGCATGATAAAATCGCCTGTCTGAAATTAAATCAATAGTCGAGGACATTGATGAGTCACTGTCACATTTGACCATTTCCTTGTTTTGCACACTGATTGCGTGAGAGCAACCATTAAAAACAAGAAGTTGTGACTTGTTTGTTTCCCCTTGTGAACATGCTGTGAGGTCACTGTCAAGCTAGAATTCATGCTGGATACTTTCCGTTGCATTCTTGTTCTGTGGTCTTTCATGCAGACAAGTTCACCTCTGTGTCACCTGTAATGAGAGAGGGGCTTATTCATGATCAAGAAAGCCACTTTAAAGCATGACCTCACCTCATGCTCTATGACATTTCTAAAACCCTAGGCAAAGTAAAGTGGTCGCAGAGCCTCTATATTGATTGCATTAACCTCCTGTTCATTTTAGAAATAGACATGAATAAATATTTTAACACCCCTACTCAGGGGTCGCAGCCAATACAATTTTTTTTTTTTTTTTTTTTTTTGAGGTGGCGCAAATGGATGTCCTGGCTCACTTAAACCCCAAGTGACATAAAACATGAAATAAAAATAACACTTAATAAGATAACATATAACAGACCATTTTCACATTTCCTGGGGTTCTCAGAAGTCATTCTGTAGTTGGCTAAATGTTTATAGTGCGGACGTAAATTGTAGCCTACAACAAATGCATTGCTTGCATTCTCATTCCCCCGATAGCAAAAAGCCTATTGTAGAAACACTCCAAACCATTTTTCTGTAATTTAATGACAAGGTAATATAACAGTATAGCATTATAAATGTGCATTACAAAATAAGAAAGAAAAAAACATTGCTAGGGTTATTATTTCAATAAAACAACTGTGAAAATGGTATTTTTTGATAGTTGCATAGTTTTAAAATCTGAGAGGTCAAGCTTGTACCTCATCCTCCTCAGGAGTCTTCTTGACATCTATTAGAGGGGCAGATGGCCTCTTGTCTTGTAGTGGTGGGGGGGTAGGAGGACAGGAGGTGTGAAGTGTGGCCTGCTCAAAGTGAATAGCTAGAGCTCAGGCTTGAAGGAGCCACACACAAAGGCAAGCACCCAGAGATTAGTGACACGACACAGCCATTCTGAAAGCACACAAGCGGAGCACAGTGATTGTGCTTTGTTGCTGAGGGAAATGGCAGGGTGACACATCTGGAGCAGAACTGCATTCAGCTCAGGGTTTCAAGGCCTCCCACTGGGCTGCTCTGCACCATTATCTGCTCAATGGGTGAAATGTCAGTGCTTGGACACTTTTGAAAAATAGAGTACAAAAAAAGTTCTGAAAATGAAGTTTTTTGTTTCGTTAAACAAACCCTTACGAAAAAGAAGTATATTTCAAGTTCATTTTATGTAGTATACTTAAGTAATGTTCAAGTATATTTTTAAGCATACATTATGTAGTAAGTATACTAATGTCACTATGTACTAGTAGTAAACTTGTAAGTGTACTATTTTAATACTGCTTGGGACTAAATTGGCCCACTTTTAGTACATAAAAGTATGTTTAAGTGTACTATAAGTGTAACAGTAAGTGCACAAATAGTTCATAATTACGTATCTCATGTGTACTGCAAGTGAATTTATGGGTATACTAGTAGTTTACTTTTTTACTGTAATACTTATACAAGTATACTTTGAATACTTAATTATACTTAAGTATTTCTGGATCAAAAGATTGGGTACAAGAACAGGACACATATACTTGCTTTTCTCTCAGTATAAGTCAAGTACACTTAAGTGTAATTTGAAGTATATTTCTGAGAAGTACATAGTATACTTCTGAGAAGTACAGGAAAAATAAACTGAAAGTATACGAAGAGTTCAGATGCAAAAGCCTCTAAATGCCATTTGAAATTTTCTTCTAAAATGATCATTTTTATCAAGCGTGTATATTTAAGTTCAGTAGTTTCACTTAAATGACAATTAATAGGTAATCTTGATTGCCATTTAAGTGAAATTACTGAACTTAAATATACAAGCTTGATAAAAATCATCATTTTAGAAGAAAATTTCAAATGGCACTTAGAGGCTTTTGCATCTGAACTCTTCATACTTTCTTATTTTTAGTTTAAAAGAAGTATACTAATGGCACACTTGAATAAACTTCTTTTTCGTAAGGGAAGCTAACTAAATAGGGAGCTAACTAACTAGCTAGCCCATGATAAATGTATATTTCCCATTAATAAAACTATTTTTTATTGTTTCCCCCCCTCATAATTTGGGTAACTGTGTCAACATTATGACACTGTTGTGTAATGTTAATAGCTGAATATAGATAATGAGATTCTTTTTGAATCAATATCCAAAAATTAAAACAGAATCTATCATATTAATGGAAAATGCCTGTGAAACGGTTTGAGTTTTGAGCTTTTCAGCTACAGCTTCAGGGTTTGCAATCACATGGTATTTACAGGAACTGGTTAATCTGATCTGATTTATGTTGTGGCAAACAGATATGTCATTTAAGTTCTTTGATCGATAAATTATCTCTTCACCCAGCACAGCAAATCAGAACAAAGATTAGATATGCACACATATGCTGTTCCTACAAAAGTATTGTCATGGAGAATGATAAGCAACACAGTTTTACACATCTATGTTCTCATATGTCAAGGGATTTTAGCATGGCATGGTTGAGAAGTTAATTATGTAACATCTTGCTCCTGTTTGTATGCTAATTGTTATAGCTGTGCTTTGAGGGTAGGGTTGTGTGTTCTAACAGCACTCCAGGGCAAAACAGGGTTCAGAAGTCATTGCACTTTAGTCATAAATCTCCCGCTCTGCCTAGTCCTGTCAGTATTAATGCATCGCATTGGCTAATTAAGACAAAGTAGAGTTGTATGTGATTCACTTCACAAAATGTGACTGAATTCTCCCAAAATAAACACATCACACAAATGCAGACGCACAGACGGAAAACAACATGTGCTCAGCCATCTGTGAAAGAAGGCTGATTATGCATCCTTATGATGGTTAAATTCATATTGATGGAAGAGTATGGTGTTGGTTGAACCATTACATTTACCTTTTTTGGGGGTTCAAAACTGATATGAAAATCTTAGAGTGATTTGTAATAAACTCTCATGTTCTCTTAAGACGACTGACCCCATATTGTTTAATAAAAATGAATAATAGTTATTTTAAGTCATTTAAATGTTACATTTTCTTAAAATGCACCAAACAGAGAAAGGCAGCATGAAAATTCATTTCATGTATTATTTGTTTATGTGGATGACATTTGAAAATTAAATTTGTGTTTTAATAATGTATTATGTATATACACAAAATGAAAGGTTGTAAATGTATATTGAAATGTTAAGTATGCTTTTTGAGCTATTAAAATGACCTCGGGGTCTTACAGACAGGGCTCCCAAAACAGAGAACAAGGGTTAAAGTAGTAACCTGACAGTGACCCTGTCAAGATTTACATTTAATAAACCAATTTGGTAAACAGTCACCAGGTGGCACTCCAAACACTTTTATTCAGGATCCTCAATCTTCCCCTTATTCTTTTGATTGAATTTAAATCAAAGCATATGTCAAGCGACTTCCAGATTCCAGGTCTAATCTGTGATCAATCTGTTGAGTGCTATTAGAGATGGCATATATCAGTGATTTAATCAAAGTTTGATGAATCACAGTGTTTCATGTGAAGACTGCTCACAAACGCGCTTGTGTTCTCTCTCCTCTGGGTGTTCAGATGTTCTCATGATGTTAAATTTTCCAGCTTTCTTTGCATGCACTGCAAGACTGTACCACTGTAAAGATAGGAGATAGGAGTTTATCATTTTGCCACATCTTGACTCTACTTTTTCATTTTCACATTCATTTTGTACATTACAAAGACCAGTTGTTTTAACAGGGGTGTGTTTGTATGCTTTTTATGTCCACGGTTAAACTGAATCAAAAGCCACTTTTGCAGGCTGTAAAATCTGACAATGATTAGTCTATATATCTGTTTCTCCATGACTTTCGTTAGAGATGGCTGGGTTTTGGTGAGAAGCAATCTGCTGCATTAAGGCCAGACTCCTTTTCCTCTCTCCCACACCCACTTCTCCGGCAGTCAAGGCTAACATATACTTTCTCCAGTTTCCCTCAGAAGAATAATTGGGCCTCCTCCTTGTTTTATTGTTGCTCTCCAGATCATCAATCAGTAAGAGGGATGGTGGCGGTTCCACCGTGTGGCTCCACTCCTGCCCTGCAGCCATGATGGGGAGATGCTCTCTAGTGACATGTAGCCTAGTATTCCCATGTGTGTGGGTATGGATCTCAGAGTAAAGGCTGCCACAGGAAACAAAAGATGGCTTGTATTATTGTGACCAAGTGCCCAAAGGCTAATTAGGCAGAAAAAATGGAAGAGAAAGTCTGCAAATCAATCATGCCGATGCTGCCTCTAAATAATGAATGACAAAATAATGAATTTTTAAAACGTTTTTGTTTTCTGTTTTTCTTGATGTGGTGAAACAACATGCCTATTATAGTGGGAACTTTTGGTGATCTTTTAGGGGGATTTGAGTTTCCTCAGTGAGGCTATATAGTTTCACATTCAGACAGTTGAGATGAAGTGTGATTTGGTCTGCTGATCAAAACCACTTCCTGCAGAAGAACAAATTGTTCTTGGCACTGTTTTTTTGCTTTTTTTTTTCGTTTTCCTTTGACACATGTGTCATGTTGTGTGTGCAAATGAGAAATTACATTTGAACAGTGGGCTAGGCCTAGGCTATATAATTCATCCAGAGCTCTTACAGATATTTTCAGAACTGATGCTGTTCTACAACAGACATTTGATATGTATACATTTCAGGCAGACATTTGTTGTTTTGCAACAGTTTTGTTTTCCTGTAAAAACATAACCTATAGCTACTAAAAATGTAGCCTAACTGTAATACCATGTCCATCTATCAAAAATGACAATTATTGTTATCATTTGGAGAGGGTGATATTTTGTGAATGAAATGAATGGAGACTCAGAGAATCAGTTTTTGAACCGTGTCGTTCGCAAAACGATTCAAACTTCCGAGTGCTATTTGAAGTGAATCGTTTCACTCTACACTAGTTAGAAAATAACCGTCAATACAGGTAGGTCCATTTAATAACTTAATAATAACTAGGCTATGGTATTTGCACGGGACTGTTAAAAAATGTTAGCTCTTATTTGCAATAGCATCATATTAGTGAAAAAAAGGACCGGCTGTAACGTTATTGTGAAGCACATGTAACGTTAATTAACGTAAGGTGTGCAGCTTTCAACGCGTCGAATAGGGCCTATCCATGTTGCGAAATCTGCAATAAGAGTTTGCGCGCAAAATTACTATATAATAACGTATCATTTTCTCTCACCTAACGTTTGGCCTGTGCGAAATTACCCCAAACATAAATTCCGCATTGAAATGGCGAACATAAATCCCCTCTTATTGGGAAGACAACGTGCGTCTTGACTACTTTGTTTTTATTGACGTATGCCTATATTGACAAAGGCGGACAGCTGGCAATTAGCCGCAGAGACTAAAGCGGCTCTTTTTTTTTATCAAAAGGTACTGTCCACGTCATTACAAACTAATAAAATATACTAAACTGCCTAATTTTCAGTCAGTTTAATTGTGAAGGATGCGATTAATTTGTTTTAGAAAAATCTAACTTTTAAGTACTGTTGTCTAAATGTTCTCGGTGCTTCTTATTTGTTATTCTTACACAATTAAAGCTCGGTGTTAAAAAGGTGAACGAACACGAAAACACAGATGAAACGATTGCTCTGTTCTGGTTCGCTGCAGGTGTGTTTCAGTTTTCAGAAAGTCATAAGCCAGCGATGGTATGCTCGGTAATTTAGGAATACAAATTGAACAAGCCGATGTCGCAAAGATACTTCAGGCAAGGTGAAGGAGCATGGCGGAAAACAGATGTAACAAAACAGAGAGCAATAAAGAAACCTCTCAAAATGGAAATGACTTGCACTAGTCATCTCAGGCAAGCTTCAGTTTAAAACCCACCTGTTTCTTCTCATCTCAAATGGCAGGATTGGGGGGGAAATGAATGTACTGGAGGTAATTTTCCACCGTATTAGATTTTAAACAAAAGCGTGTGAAATTATCCACAGAGACTGCGAAACTGCTTTACCCGCAGTTATGAAAATTAAACATTGCGGGAGGCAGGCTTTTCAGAGGATTGTTGATACATTACCCCTGATATTATGCAATTTGTTTGTCAGTATTTTATAGGGTAATTTTTATTTCACCTTATCTCGAACTCCCCCTGTTTAAATGCCCATAATTGAGACAAAGCTTTCTCATTTGGAGCCGGATCCCTCGAGACACCTTACAAGAATATAATGACACCTCGCCACCATAATTATTAACATGCATTTACAGCGAGGAACACTTAGCATTTGGATTAAACCATTGATCTCAATTGGTCCAGGTGGTTTGTCAGCTAAATAGGTTTACACAAATCAAAGCAAATAGAAGATTGTTCCCCCGCTGCCAGTGTGTCCAATGGCCAGTACCCTTTGTGTTTTGTTTAGTCAAAGCATACAAAGCACTTCAATTATTACACTGTTTATGTCAGTGCTTGAGATGACAGCCATTTCTTCAGTGGTGGAAATCAAGTAGCTCTTTGTTTTTGTTTACCAACAGCCATAAAGCAGCTAAATGGATAACAAAATGATGAAGATGCAGACGCACAAGAGGAACATTAATCCAAGTGAGATGGAACATCCTCTGACAGGTATGTCGACCCGTACTACTATTCTAATAAACAAACCACTCAGTTTCCCAGGTAATACGCCTTGCTGCTTCCACTTCGGTAAATGGCTTCAACTTTCTCATCTTTGGCCCTGGAAGAGCAGGGGTTTAATTTTTACATGTCTTCGCTTTGACAGCACTACGGTTAAATATTTCCCTTGGCCATAGTTGAAACGCGTATACTTTTAATAGTGGTGAGGGTTGGAGCAGGCAGGTCTGGGGACTGGAAGGTCCCCGAGAGTCTGGGGCCAAATTGACAGGGCCGTCTATGTTGGCTCAGTCTTCATTTACAGCAGGATGATCCTTGCCAACCCTGGTGGCAGCCAATTTGCTCTAGGATAGATGAATGTGGAGAGGTAGGCTATATGAAGGCAGTGTTTTCCCACAAAGACCACTGCCACAACTGACATCTTATTTATACCTCATTGTTTGAGGAAATGTTGAATAAACCATTTCAACATTTGGAAATGTTGTGAGATGATGAGATCATCAGATATTGAATCGCAACAGTTCAGTACTGTTCATTTGAGTGGTGTAGAATACTTTTTATTAGAACATTTTATTTATTAAATTTTATTTTTAATTTACTAGTCACTAGAAATTAGTTACTACTAATTTTATTAATTAAATTCTGTTTTGTTAAAACACTAAGGCCCTGTTTACACCTGGTATTAAGAACCATTTTGGTCAATCGAATTACAAGTGGATGAACAGGTGTAAAGGGATCTAAAATGTTTTGAGCTTGTCCACTTACAGAGGTAGTCAACCCGCCTGGCATAAATCTAACTAAGCATTATGGAAAGTGCTCTTGCCAGATAGGATTTAAACTTTGTTGGCTGAAGACCCAAGTTTAAGCACAATATCCTCTCACCATTCCTGATGTTTACTGTGCAATCAAAACGCTCAGCGTGGTCCTTGCAGTTGTCAGGGCAGAAAAGATAATATGTAAATTATGCAAGTTTATTTTGTCCTTTACTGAAAGATCTGAAAAGACCCTACTCGAAGATATCCGGACAGAAGTGGTTGAAAGTGGACAAAAGAGAGAGGATAAATCAACAGGTGTAAACGGACATGTCTGCTTGTGATTTAATTGACCAAAACACATCTTAATACCAGTGTAAACAGGGCCTAAAGGCCAAGCAACACTTTTAGCCTCTTTCCCCTGTCAGGTGAGTGAGGTGTAAACACCGCGGAGGGCAGGTGATGAAATTGGATGGTGAGCTTTTCTGTCATTGCATGGTGAGCTGAGGGACAGCGTAGAGTTCTTGCATGCAAAGTCTTTTTTTTCTTTGTGTTGGCATGCTATTGTGGAAAACAAGCTGTTTTGGGTATATGGCTTCGTAAAGTGAAATGCATTAACCAAAAATGAAAAAAAAAAAGGCTCTTTGGTCAAAGAAGAAAACCCTCTGTGCTTTGGGCTTTTTCTGTGTTGTTAGATGTCAATCACATAAGCTGATCAGTATTCAGAATGACAACTCCTCTTCCACTGGGTCTGATTTCTAGCTCCTGAGTCAATTACTTATCATTTGTCAGCCCTGAATTGCTGAAGCTGTGTTCAGCTGCGGTTCCTCAGCTCACGTGGTTTTGTATGACTTCACAGAGAAACACAACACTCAGAGCAGCATATAGTGTACAGATAAAAACTGCCCTGCATTAGTCCATGCTAATCCATTCATTGTCTTGACTTGAACAAAATAAGGGTGACTCTTATTGCACTGATGTAAATTTGATGGGATTATTTTTTTCTTCTTGAACATTACAACACATATATATCATTGGTTAGGCATATTTACTAGTATATGAAAAAAAGCAACATTTAAAATTGGGGCTACTTTGAACTTTGGGACTTAAGAATTAAAGCTGCGGTCCGTAGCTTTTTTTGGGGGGTTTAAAAATGATCCAAAATACATATTTGAAAAAATACATAACCAGCCAATGTTCAAAACTATCTGCTTGCCTTAGCTCGATTCAAAGCGGAAAGCTTGTAATAATGTTTTTAATTTCAGTGGTACTGGTGGATT